ATTCAAGTATATATATATATATATATATATATATATATATATATATATATATATATCTTGAAATCTCACCAAAATCTCAATCTCACACATATTCTCAAATCCCAGCTCTTTTATTCATTTTATTCGTTTTCTCGCATCTTTGATCCGGAAAGGTTTTCAGTCGTGTGTCGTTAAATGGCTTTAGGAGGGATTTTACTTCGAGTCCTGACATCGCTTTGCAAGAACGTTCGCGTCTGTTCTTTACAAGCAGTCATTAGGTTTTGTGAATTGGAAAGAGCTCTTCCTAGAAAAGTCTGGCATCAGTTTGCCGACGCTGTAGTGATGGAAGCCTTGTTGGGCATTGGGCATGGGGTGAGGTCGAACTAGAGCATCGCGCGTTTCGAACTGGATCTGTACCATTGCACTGTACATGCTCTTATATGTATATATATGTACTGTATATATATATGTATATCTATATATATATGTATTTATACACATATATATACACATATATACGTGTATCTGCTCGATTCGAAATTTTTATGTTGTATTAAGTTGTAATTTTGCATATTTAAGGTCAGTTATTTCAAACCTTTTTTCGCAATTTCAATATCTTCTTTGCAAAATATCTATTCATTCCTTTTTAGTCCTTTGGTTTCTTAATTTCCGGTTAGGTAATATCCAAATGTGCGATTTGATTGACATAGAATTTGTAGATTCATGTGAACCGTGGTTTCGGAAGAAACGTACGAACGGTGAAACTTCATGAGGTGCAGAAAATCGTTCGCGGTAGTTCGAGCAATGGTATGCTTTTCAAACGGTTGTTTTTTTTTTCCAGAATATGAATTCTTATGAAGCGAGTTTTTGTAGAATTGGTGAACATCGACACAAATTTGATTCAACAACTGCAAGCGATCTCTGACGAGCCGCAGGAATTGAGTAAAAGCATTAGCGCTGACGGAAGTCCTGTATTGCCTATTCCACAGTTTTCTCACCGTGTAGAGACATTGGCTGGAAATCATTTGTTATCGGTTCATGAACTTAGCAAGACGGCGGTCAGTTGCTTTTCATGAATAAGTGAACTTTTTCTCGTGTTTATTCAATTCATGAGCGTGTGTACGCGACGAGGGCGCGTGTAGCGCAGTGGTGGGAGGCGCCGTGCAACACACACCACACACACGGAATCGATCCACGCGCTCTAAGTCCACCAAGCCTTCCATCCGTTCGTGGTCAGTAAATTGGTACCAGGCTTGTCTGAGACGATAGCGGCACTGGCTCGATACATCGATAGGCCTCCGCGAGTCATTCTAAGGGCTGATTATGCATTCAACACTTCCAACGATGTTTATTGAAGTCGAAGGCATGACGCATACCTCAAGGGTTGATCAACACCGAGAGCTTTGTCCTCTTATCCTTTATGTACGCGAGGGACGTATTTCTCGTACTATTTGTCGGTCTTTTGCAAATGTTTATGTTTTCTTGGATTCATTCCTTTGTTTCCATGAGGAGTATGATTATGCAGCACAAATGGAATGTTTTATTACCCTTGGCTTGCAATATAATGCCTTTACAGCCGGTTCAGCGCTTCCATTCATGGTTCTCCAGTACATTCTTCCGTAACTGTAGTGTAAAAATTTTCTGATTTAATGACGGTTTGTTTTAGATAAACTGTATTTTTGATGTTGCTGATCGCTTCCGATCTGATGTTGAGCGGAGGCATGTTCTAACACATATTCTCGAGGTATATTTGATGTTTTGCTCTTTTATCATATATTTATTCATATTATACACTCATACTTTTATTATATATTCGGGCGCCTGTAGCGCAGTAGTCGGAGGCGCCCTGTAACACACACATAGAATCGATCCCCGTGCCCATGGCTCACCAATTCGTCCATCCGTTCCTGGTCACTAAATTAGTACCAGACTTATCTGCGAGGATAGCGGCACTGGTTTGATACATCGCTAGCCCACCACGAGTGATTGAAAGGGCCAGATATGCTTCCAATCACCTCCAACGATGCTTAATGAAGCCTTATGCATGGCGCATCCCTCAGGCATTAATCAACGCAGAGAGCTTTGTCCTTCATCCTTCTATAATATATTCAAAACTTGATATGGAGACAATGTAACACAATTTTAGACTTATTTGTTATGCACCATTAGTAAACCAGTTGTGTCACCTACGTTAAAGGAATTATGCAGGGCTTCGTAATGGCGTCGTTATTCTATGAAGTGTCGACACGCACATCGTGTTCGTTTTCTGCTGCTATGCAACGTCTTGGTGGTAGTGTAATCTCAATGGATAGCTACTCATCATCCGTACAAAAAGGCGAATCCCTTGAAGGTAAGTTAATTCGTGGTTATGGTAGGTAGTTTCACCTAATGACGCAGTAGTAGTGGTAAGTTGTTGAATATAATGATGGCATTGATGTATGACATGCGCTAGAACAAACTCGGCCCACAAATTCCTGTGGTAATGGATGTTGATTACGTCCTCATTCTGACATCTGATAACTACTCAATAAGTTGGAGGAGGGTTTTGCCCGCTATGTTGTCAGTTTGTTCCTGACACACAGTATGACTGAGACAACTGGAGCTTTAATTGTTCCAGAAATTAGGTTTTAATGTAATCCTTTTTTATTTACTGCCTTTTTTTCATGGTAGAGTATGCTGTGAAGTATAACTACAATGAATGATTTGCGCTCCCCAAATCAATCCCGTTGACAGGTGATTACTGATGGCACCGTTAGGTGGAAAACTTGGTACTTACTTGATACCTGAATGGCCCGTCCTCACTAATTGTGCGGGCCTCAATACAATCTCCACTTTTTGGAGATTCGCTGGTTAAACCATTGTGGTTCTCTGGAATAGCCTGGCAACACCGTTTGGAGGAGGTAGAAAACGGGTTGAGAGAAAGACGAAACGAAGGATCCGCATGGTGTGGTGGTGAACGCGTTACTTACCGGAAAGGGTAATAGCGAGTTCGATCCCCACCGAAAGCGCCTGAGGCTCAGAGTTTTGCAAATATCTCATTATCATCGTAGTTAGGTTTCAGTGTTCTTGTATACAATTAGCCATGCATGCGTAAGTTTCTTTTAATTGCGTCGTTTGCTAACTGTACGCTCGTGAAAACAAAACAGTTGAATGTCATTGAAGGTGAGGAGTTGAATTAAATTTTTAAGAATTGTTGCGATATACGTCGTTGCCGATTTTCTAAATTATTAAAAGCTCTTGTTTTTGAGAATCATGGCGTGTTCTACGTGTGTTTCATGATAGTCTCCATGTATTTTCTTTGAAAGTAATCCTCTGAAGGTGAAATCCATATGTGGAAAATTTGAATTTTTTTCACTACTATCTTTATTTGGTGCCAAACCAGTTGTTGTTTAGGTCTCTTTACATTCGACTTTTTTAAAAAATATCCTTTATACTTAGATTCTGTTACGGTGATGGCCAATTATGCTGATGTTGTTGTTCTTCGTCATAAGGAAACAGGTGCGGCTACTCGAGCAGCTGCCGTCTCATCCCGTCCGTTAATCAACGCTGGCGATGGAACTGGAGAACACCCAACGCAAGTATGGATTCCACTTATTTCTTACGTAATTCGTTTTAATGTGCGGAAAATTCATTTACATAGTGTTTTTTAAACTTGATGTAGTGTTTAGGTTATGGATTGAGAGTGTTCCGACTATTAAGTGATAAAAAGGTGATGTTTCTAGTCTGACCACACATTCTGATAAGGTGGCTCTTCTTCTATCCGGATTCACTTTAGCTAGCATTGTCTGCCAGTTACAAAATCGTGGGTGAAGTGAGAATAGGTTGATGTAGGTACCGATAATGTCGGTGTTGAAGAATTCGAGTCATTCAATGTTGCAGATGTGTGGTCGAAATCGGTCAGCGATGTCATCGTGAGCTACTTTTCCGATTCAGGTCGGGATAGTGACCGTTAATGGTTTTTTTTGCCGAATGAATAGAAGTCTATTCTCATTATGGATATGGAATACGCATTATTGCCCGCTGTCTGGGATATATCAATTTACTAGCTCTGACGGCTTAGCGCTTCCAAATCCAACCAAATTGTGCTTTCAGAGTCAGGGTTCACTCTGAGAAAGGTTTCCAGGATCGATTTTCTATTAGTCTCGGCAGTAGATTATAAATACATCGTTTTCTTTCTCAGCAATCGCGAGATTTTTATACAGCATGCGTTTACATCTGTACAAAAAACAAACCACAGAACAGTAGCCAACGTTTCGGCAGTATCGCCTTCAGAGCTTGGAAGGGTATATTGATAAACAGTTCACTACGTCAAACGCCTCAATAACACATACAGAAAGACGAAAATCTGAACGATAATTATACAATCAACAGCTTCTCGAGAAACCCACCGTGTTTACTTGCTTTACGCTGAGGAAGAACAGCTGATTAGAGTCGCATATGGTTGATTACTGCATCACCTCACATCAAAAATCGAAGCGAAGATACGGGGCCGGATCGCTTGTGATCTATACGCATTTCTCCCTGCTATTTGTTGTAGGATTTTTGGCAATGATCCATAAGGCCTGAAGAAGTTTGCACCTTGGTGTTTTAGTCTCCTGTGCGAGGATAATGACTTTTACATTGAAATCGTCGTATCCTGTGTCCTTGGTGGGGTAGTTTATCTTGCTTTTCGTGTGCCATGCAGATGTTCTTTTGTTCGGATGCGTGAGGGTCTGCCGGTTTCGCCAATATATTCGTCTTGGCAAGTAACACAAGAGATCAGGCATATCGTACCTGAACCCCTGCAGTCACCGTCCCTGCCGTAAGAGCAGTTTACTCAATTTTGTGTTTCATGTAGACGGTCATATAGGCGGTTATGAACTAATTGGCGACGAAGAGTATCGGGTGGTGTTTCTACTATCGTTACAGATTCTTCTAGATCTTCTTATCGCTACACTTATTTCATCGCTAATAAGGGGCAAGATAAACGGAATTTAGTTCAGGCCAAACCCTTCGTCGTGGGATTACTATTTTGCAACCATTGGAGATGGGTATTTGCCGGGCCAGGTCGCGCGAATCCCCTTTTTCGGTTCCTTCTTCGTGCACACAGAGGTGACTGTTCGAAAAATGACACAAGCGCCTTCTTTGTGTGTGAACGGAGGAAGAGAGATGAACGAGGATGTTTTTTTTTAGTTGGATTTCGGTACCATTTTGTCTTGTAACCACTATCTGAAGAGTTAATTTGGAAGTTAAGAAATGGGAGCCAATTTTCTTCCGGTTTCCTCTGGTAAATTTAATGTACTCAGGCCGCTCGTTCAATAACTCGTTCTCATTTAACTGATCCTTCTGAATGTGGTATTCTTATCGTTGAAACGAATAAATAATCATGTTACCATCATTCGAAAGTTGATATTCGTTTCGAGCGCAGCACAGATGAGGTAGCGCTCTTTTTTGAACTCCGAGCCCACATAGAAGAGAGGGATTAAATAGCGAAAGGATCTCTATGGAATCCCATCTATGGAATCTTTCGAATATCCAGGGAATCACAACGTTGCTGAGATATTTGCAAAACTCTGGACCGCAGGTGTCTATGGTGGGGAACGAACGCGCTATTATCCTTTCCGTGGAGTAACGCGTTCACCACCACACCATGCGGGTCCTTCGTTTCGCCGCCCTTTCTCAACCCCGCTGACGGGTGATTGCTGTGACAAAATGATCGATAGAAATAGCTGAGAGACAGGCGAAACGAGGGACCCGCATGGTGTGGTGGTGAACGCGTTACTCCCCGGAAAGGACAATAGCGCGTTCGTTCCCCACCATAGACACCTGCGGTCCAGAGTTTTGCAAATATCTCAGCAACGTTGTGGTTGTATTTCGCCTAGTAACCTGCCATGGAAATTATAGAAGGCAGAAAACAAAACAAACATTATCCAGGGAATGCCAAAACGTCGGGGAATTGTATCGCCAGCGTATACCGCGTAACACTAGGTTATTCGGCAATTTGTGCTGGATTTTAGCCTATGACTTTCTTCCGTGTTCTTCGTTTATTAATCCATTTTCATAAGCTTGCTATAAAAACTTATTGCGGCTTGCACCTCAGCGCTATCTTTTTATTCAGAGCATTAACTCAGCGATTCGAGTTTACCAACATCATTTATTTCTTATGATACTGGAGTCTTCATAGTTGCATCGAGTTTAATCGGAACTCTGCTTAAAGAACCAAATTGGCAATTTCCGGTTGAGAAAAAGTGCGATGGAGAAGTCACCCGGAAGCCTAGAGTCTTACTATGACTGGAAAGGAAGTTTCATTTTCGGCGAAAATTTTTCATTCATTTAGTAAAGTTTGCTTTGAAATAAGACGAGTGTATTCGATGTCAACGGTTAATAACGAAGATTTCCTTTGTATAAAAGTAGTATTCCTAAACGGTCTTCTTTCAAATGCGCTTTTAAAAATAATTGCTACCCCTGCATCATTTTACGTTGTCGATGGGAATTCAAAAAATGTAAATATTTGCAGGCCTTGCTGGACGTGTACACAATACGTCAAGAAATTGGTACAGTTAATGGTCTTACGATTGCCATGGTAGGCGATCTGAAACACGGTCGCACAGTGCATTCCTTAGCGAAGTTGTTGTGTTTCTATAAGGTAAGGAGCTGAATTTTTTGTGATGAAGATGGGAGGCTCCATAAGAGCACAAATTACGTATAGTTTTCTATTTTTGAATAAGTCTCATAATAACACTCTTTTGTACCGATCTTCCATGTAATATCGAACCGATTCATCGTTGAAAGAGAACGAAAAACGACGGCGTTACTCGAAGAGTCCTTTATCGAAAATAGACTATATGGATTGTATTTCTGACTCTACGTGCGATTGTTTTATATTTTCCGCACATCATATATATATATATATATACATATATATATATATATATACATATATATATATATGTATATGTACTTGGGCACTTGGACGGCCAGTCCTCACTGATTGTGCAGGCACCAATATATCCTCCATTGTTTCGAAGTTTTACTGGTTTAACCATTGTGTTTATCTGCAGTTCCGAGGTCAACCCGGCCCCAAGTGTGTCCCACGTCGTCATCACCACAGGCAATCGTCGTCTTTGTGGATCAGAGGGAGATTTGCCGCCATGTGACTAGTTTGATACCAGGACGGTAGTGGATGCTGGTATTGGTTTACTCCTAGCTGGGCTTCCTGATGGAAACGCTAGTCTCATCAGCATGGGAGACTGTGCCGGGGAGGTGAATTCCCGGTTGTGCATCGCACCCCGACACCCAGAAATGCCTCTCAACTACGATGAAGCGGTGAACCGTTGGTAGGATATATATATCTACATATATATATACATATGTGTATACGTATATACACATATACATATGTATGTACATATATATACATATGTTCACATATAGGGCGCGCGTAGCAAAGTAGTTGAAGGCACCGCTGCGGCACAGGTTGAATCGATCCCCGCGCCAATGGTCAACCAAGCCTTCCACCACTCAGGGGTCGGTATATTGGTACCAAAGTTGTCTGGAAGGATACCAGCACTGGTTCGATACATTGGTAGGCCACCCCGAGTGAATGCATAGGCCAGATGTGTATTAAATCACCTCCAAACGATTCTTAATGAATTCGAATTCATGGCGCATCCATCATGGATTGATCAATGCCGAGAGCTTTATCCTTTTTTTATCATATATATATATATATATATATATATATATATATGCATTATATATATATATATATTACACGTCACTAGGGCATGTTAAAATGACGTGCAGTAGGATGGTTACGAAGAGATCGCTAGTATCTCAAAGCCATTCTAGATCTTACCAAATCTGGAGATAGTTTAATGTTGACGAACTAGACTAACAAGGTATTCCTGGTAATATGTTGATCGTTCAACACGAGCCTATTGATATGAGCTACTATATTTAATTATGATGCACCATAGAATTGGAGATTAGTGTTGTCGGTGATTTAACGTGGTTCACCAAAGTGCAGAAAAATTCTGTTAACATGAACTAAAAAATTGGCTAAGTTTTTTTGCTCTTTTTGCTAAGATGATCGTTGCCAAGGACATTTCTCCCTTTGATTACGTCTCATTATGACGCCAGGATGAAGATGAGTTCGAGAAGTTTTGTATTAACATGGGGAACAAAAGCTGCATTATTGTGTATGCCTGCTTGAGCCCGGCTCAGGTGACGCAGCTGTCTTCTCTGTAGGGAAGTAAATATCTAATTGTTGGCTTTTTAGAATATTACACTGCATTATGTCAGTCCAACTCCTGAACTTGGTATGCCCGAGTCTGTTACAGACTATGTGGACAAAAAAGCTGGTTTTCTTCAGGTAGTTTTTTTGTTTTCCCGTTTTTTATTCTAACCCTTTTATTGTTCAGTGTCAGAGTCCGAACTTGATGCTTGTTCTAGTCGTAACAAAGCTATTATTACAGAAAGTATTCAGTTCACTGCAACAAGGCATCCAAAACGTGGACGTGGTTTACATGACAAGAATTCAAAAAGAGCGCTTTTCTAGTGTAGTGAGTCAAGAAATTGTATTTCAAGGGAATAAATTCCGATCCATTTGCTTGAAATCCAGCTATTCTGTAAACAGTTACTATTTTCAGGAAGAATATAATAAGATAAAAGGGAGTTACACATTAACAGCAAAACTGCTGAACGCAGCTGCTCGACCAAAAGACTTTGGTGGAAGTGTCCTTGGTGAATTTCCCACTTCTAAGAACTCCTGAGTTTGTCCACAATGAATCTCGTGGCTCATTAATAGCTGTTTAGCAACCATGGATAGTGTATTTTGTAGGACCTAGTCGCAACCTTCCTATTATCATGCATCCATTGCCGCGAGTCGACGAGATCAGCACTGAATTGGATCACGATGATCGAGCCGCATATTTTCGTCAGGCAGAAAATGGAATGTACGTTCGAATGGCTATATTAGCGATGATACTAGGAAAATCACCTTTGCCGCCATCTGCGTAACGACTTTCACTTGGTGAATATAACGGTTTCATATTCTTCAAATTTTTCTCCACTTTGGTTTTTTTCTTTACTAACGATAATTTTTTGTAATGTTGTTCGATTGAACTTTGGTATTTTGCCTTCTTATAAAATTTCTGTAATCAAAGCTTTCAGTTCTGTTCAGTGGGTTGTTTATCCTACACTTTGATGCAACTTGTGATGTTGTAACGTTTTCCAAACTATCTATTGTTGATTTTTGTTGTTCAAGTTATCTGTCACAATTGTTGTATTGTGGAAAGTTTGTTTACATAGTTACTAGACCTTTCTGTTGTTTTTTTATTACTACTTGACCCGACATAAACTCTCCGAATTCCAGCACCTTTTTTGTCCAGTTCATTTTATCGCGTCCATCATCTACGAAGCTCTTTGGATTTGCTTGTGGGCTTGGCTGCAGACTCGATTCTGTAATTCTGAAATAGCTGCCATGATAAAGTCGAAAGCGTGGTGTATCACCAAAGAAATGAATATTGGGGTGATGTATGCTGTCTATCACAGAAACAACGGACGCGACTGTGATTGCAAAACGCTTGGATCACCTGGGTTGAACAAGGTTTTCTTTTGCAAAAAATGATGAGTGGTTCATAAATAGGGAATTTGTTGAGGTAGTAATAAACACGATAATGCGCTCGCCGGACAGTTTCATTCATATTTGGAAGCCATGCTTTGGATATCCCTACGTGGAAACCTAAACGTAGTGAATTGTGAAACGCTAGTAGGACGTGCATTCGATTACATGTTCTCATCGGTCTTTGCATTGTTTCTAATAACCCTAATGAGTTAACGGCCATTTGTGGAGGGACCTTTCTGGGTGTTGAGCTACGAAATGCGGGTAAGTCCACCCATCAGTGCGACCACCCAATCAGATAACTAACCATGCGGAAGTCCCCTAAATAGTGTCAAAAACCTGTCTCACTGTGCACGAACTGCTGGTATGCCAGTTGGGTCACCGTTTCAGAACCACTAAAACGGATATTATGGGAAAATTGTGGGTGCATTTCGTAACCCCTGAAGAGGCGTAACCCGCAATGAGATAATGTTGTGATATCGGGGCGAAACTAGTGCACTTGTGTTCGCTTGAATCACTCGACGCCTAATGAGATTAGAGGCTTGCAGGGACGTAATCTTTTTAAAAATAGCTATGAGAAAGTTAATCATAGTTCGGATCCTGACCTTGGCACAATCCTGGTTATGTGTTCTCATTATCACGACCACCAAGCGGTTAGCGCAATGCTCCCGTTCTTCACGCGGATGTCGTAGCAGATCCAGAGCCTGGTTCAACGCCGCCCTGGGCCAACCAAAGCCTTCATCCTTCTAATCCACACGGAAATAGGCCATCGTGGTTATCTCAGGTTTCTAGAGATCAACGACTGGACCAGGGTTCAACGAAATTCGTTGCAAAGACGAGAAAATCCTCAAGCGCCAGTCGAAGCCTCACCCAAGAAAGTTTGAAGGCCTTCACGAATGGTGGATGCGAGGGAACGAGTTGAATGTAAAAACTGTTGTTACCTGCTACATTGTTGTTACTACATTGTGATACGTATAATTCCAGGTCATGTAATAAAAAATAAAAAACAATAAGAATGTGTCGTTTTCTTGTTCAGCAATCGTGAGGTTTTTAAACAGCATACATTTACTTCCATAGAAAAACAATACAATACAATACAACGCAAGCTGACGTTTCGGCAGTATCACCTTCTTCAGAGCCTGGAAGGGTATACTGGTATACAATCTACTAGGCCAAAACAATAAAGTATCAAGACCTAGTTAGTGTTGGCGCCACAAGTTTAATGGTGGAAAATTGGCGACTTTGGAGTGGCACAGAGTATGCTTCGCAACAAATCACCATGACACCAATGATAAAATAATATGAGGACAATTAAACCATCCTATTCCGTACGAAATGTGTTCATTTCTGACGAGTAGAGAACATCGTCGTCGTGGTCGACGTCTTCGTAGTCGTTGTGGTCGTCGTCGTCGTCGTTTGTTGCTTGTTCTACTGCGCTATTGATCCTTGTCAGTTGCCCGTAAGACGTCTAATTCGCTCCGCTAGTCTCCGATCTGCATCACTTGTGTAGTGTTTCGCGCAACCGACCGGTTCACATTTTTCTGTCTATTTTCGTGAATGATGATCGTCGACGGATCAGATTGTGTTCGCTGATTTGACTTTCGTCTACCCATACTTCACATATATGTGTGTAATCGTTTTTTTCTTCCTTAATGATCCCAGTTTGACTCATTTTTTACCAAACCGAGGAGTATTTTGTTTTCCGGAAAGAAAAAAAGCCGTTACTTTAGTGGTATCAAATTCCTACGATCGTCCGAAAGTCGTTGTTTATTTCGGCGCAAAGCATTTTCTTCAACGTTACTATTATGAAACTTTATTATTATCACGATGTTTTCATCTTAATACCGTTTCTGGCATCGTATTAATGAATATCCGTGCAGGATACACTAGTGATAAATCTGACCACAGCGCACGGAATCGGCTTAAGCGTTATAGAATAGATAGGTATTGATTGATTGATGTGTAACGAATAGGTTATTTCATGCGTGTAAAATGCGAAGGTGGAATGCAACGCATGAAAATTGATATAACAATCGTGAAAAAAGTTATTGAGTAGTTTGGGAACACACGGTACCTATCGATTGATTTTCATCCCTAAAAGCTGGACTATAGATTACTATGATAAGTTTAACTCGGTCTGTTATGACTTACTGGCGAACGATCGAGTTAGAGTTACAGAGGCACGCCCGATATCTTTGCACCAGCTAAAGTTTTGTCTCAGTGTCATGCTGTAATTCTTCCATGTTCTCGCTAAACACTTTATTATACGGTATCTTAGCAGACAATGGCAGGAAACGTATCTTAACACATATTCGTAGGAATCGAAGGACTTTATTCATATGAAAATCTTACTTAATATGCTCAAATAAAGTCAGGCATTAAGTTTTAATTGCAGCATAAATATTCCGTAGATATATGCTGAGATTACACGAGGTTGATAAAGCTGTTTATTCGGCTAGCGTTTCGACGATTTCGTCCTCATCAGAGCCGATGATCCGAATCGATGGTCCACAGTTGTTCGTGTTCTCGAGGTGGTGTCTTCGTCGCACATCGAGCTGGATCTTCCTCAGTGGAGCATCACTCTCGAATTAAACAAAAAGAAATTATTATCAACGGATAACAACATCATCAACAACCGCCGCGTATAAAAGAGTATCGCCAGGCGAGTATAGATCCTTCGAGAGTGATGCTCCACTGAGGAAAATCCAGCTCAATGCGCGACGAAGACGCCACCCAAAGAACACGAACAACTGTGGGCCATCGATTCGGATCGTCGGCTCTGATGAGGACGAAGTCGTCGAAACGTTAGCAGAGTAAACAGCTTTATCAATCTCGTGTAAGCTCAACAATATAAATACGTGTCGATTATATGACTGCCAAAGCTAAATGACGGTCGGTTTCAAAATTGTTCTTTGGCAGGTATAGTTGAAACAACCGAAAGACAAGGTATTCAGGAACAGTTTGAATGATGCCTATCTATTTGGTGTCGTAGGGTGAAAACACAGTCAGCTCCATGTTTTTATCCTTGTGCGAAGTAAATCACTACACAGAATGATCGTTATGCTATGCGTTGGTTGGAGAAACAGGAAATGTTCTTCATGTGATGTGATAGCCGATGGCTTCGTTTCGATTCGTGTTTCATTTCAATCAAATGCAAGCTAAAAGACACTAAGTATTCATAATGACGAAGCGTTGTAGATCCCTAGTTTTTTGTCTCTCGTAAACATGAAAAAGAAATTGAACTCGTTGTTTAGTTATCTTTCCTACTTATTATTTGTCTGTTTACTATTTCTCCACTGGTTTGCGCCGTCCCATCATCTCCGACGTGTCGAACTGTGATTGCATCGCGAAGGAGGATCCATCACTCATAAAGGCTATCCCGGATGAAGCGTTGAGGACTTCCTCTCGGAAACTCGTCTAGGGGTAAGAAATTCAAAAATTGGTCATCGTAAAGAAGAACTCCTAGTAAGGTGGTACAAAACCGCCTCTTATAGCGAACATAACGATGGCTGCGTATTGTGCCAACCAAGGAGCACCTTGCTCTCAATTTTTAGACTACAGAAAGATTCTCAGTCCCGTAACGTTGCTTTTAAAATGAAAATTGGACCCTCTTCATGTAGATGGGTTGGTTTACTATAGAACAACCAAGTCTTTTTTAAATAAAAAGCGAAGGAGCTCTTCGCGTTTATCCCTCCCTGAGAGATGGACCATACATTCGATTTCATCAAATATCGCTAGAGATGAGTGAATGCATATGTGGCCTACTTTCCTAGACAATTCTAGTACCAATTTGTGCATCCCGAAGAGATGAAACGCTTGATGATGACAATGTGCAAGATCGAACCATAAACCACTAGTGTATTGCAAGGTCCGTCTAGGTACTACGCTACACACGACATGGTGCCTTATTATTCATCGAAATTACTGTATTCTTCTTGAGCAGATGCAAGGGTCTTAGTTCCATATTTATTTCACAATGGCTAACGTTTCGGCGAATTTGCTCTCATGGACGGCCTGGAATGGGTCGTAATGGTACCCTGTCTACTCAATCAAACGTTTTTATAAATTGTATCACCTGTATCACCTGTAGTCCCGTTGATCGCCGAGTGACTCGAGCGGGCGCCAGTAAATCTTCCATTTTTCCCTGTCGCGTGCAAGAGTAGCCCAGTGGGTTCTGCTCGCTCTAGAGACTCGTCGAGCATCATATCTTTTTTCTAGGCTCTTCGTGAAGAACTCTGACCATCGGGTCGGTGGTCTTCCTGCAGTGCGTTTGACATATCAAGGAATCCAGTCACTAACGGCTCTTGTCCATCGGTTGTCATTCATACGCATAACGTGTCCGGCCCACCTTATCTTCGACTGTTTCGCGTACGGAACGACATCTTCAATTTTTTGA